CGTGGTCAAATCGTCAAAGTAAATTCTATGCAGTCTAAACCTAGGCTCATAACTAGTGGAGTAATACAGGGTAGTGTCCTTGGATCTTTGTTGTTCATAACTTATATTGATAGCGTGTGCAACTGCTTCACTGAAGGCGAAACATTCCTGTACTCTGATGACCTTGAGGTTGTACGTTCGTGTCACGCCCATGAACTAGGTAATACGCCATCTACTGCTCGACAAGAATTAGGTGAAGTTGCTAAATGGTGTGACGAGTCCCATCTCCAGTTTCACATTGATAAATGTGGTTGACCTAGCATGGACAGCTATAACCTGGATGGGTATCTCGAAGTATGTGGGCAAAAGCTACCTGGACGTTCTTCAGCGCTAGATCTTGGTCTTAGATATTCCAGTGACTGAACATTCTCCAAGCAGACGGCTTGTATCGCATCTAAGTCACGTAGACTCCTCGGATGCATTGTCCGTAACTTTTATAGCGCTGAATCGGGGGTCCTACTCTGCTGAGTGAGCATCCGTCCAATTTTAGAATACTACCAGTTTATCTTAAGTGGCCTTGGCACAGGCGACAAAGGAAAAATTGAAGCAGTACAACGCCACTTTTCCCTAAGAACACTAGGAGCCGACAACAGCCTAGACTAGATCTCCAGACGCAACATGCTGAACAGGAACCCCTCTGGAAGAAGAGACTTAGAAGGAATCATATATTTTACCATAAATTACTTTGTAAGCAAGTGCACTCATGTGGCCCAGAAATTAAAACAGTCGCAACATCCACTCACTATTTACGTAATCACAATCTATTAGCTGAGAATGAGTGTTGTAAGACCAAATTGTGAAGAAGCTTCTTCCTTCATAAGTTCTCTCACATCCGGGATAGACTTCCTGAGGAGATACGTGCTGCAGGTTCATTGTCTTTTGTCCCGCACTTAATAAGCTCCTAACGGATGATGAGTCTACCACTCGCCTAGGCACTAAATATACGTTCTGGGCTGATGAAAAAACACAGGGACCTCTAAACATATAGAGTGAGGCTATCATAAATCTATTGCCTCAATGGACTCATGAAGGCTGTTTGATTACTAGTCCATGTGGTCGGGTTGTGCAATAGAAATACTTAGCCGGTGTTTTTTTAGTTAACCAATAAAAACTGCCCATCTAATAACTTGTGTGAACTTCGTGTAAGAAAAAAAGGGAGAGTTATTCTTAGATGCATAAGTTAAAGTTAATATATAGTTTGAACGACGAAAAGACGAGAACTTCTCTACTCCCAGTTTGTTTTACGTGATATTCGACTGTCCAGTTTCTCCTTGCGCCTTCTTTTCTCTCCTCTTCCCAGTATCAGCCTGACAAGAAAGTCCTAAGCATTAGTTCGACCAGAAGGTATCAACTTACCGGGAATCCTACTTCGCACATAATGCTGGAAACTGATGTCAGAGGTATTCAGCTGACTCGCCCCCGATTTCCTGTTTCTTGAACAGCTTCACAACCAACTCACCTCCCTACCAGTACCCTAAATGCTGCCACATACGAAACCCCAGGCACAATAACTGGTCTCTGATTTCTAGTCCACCACAAATGCAGCGGAAATCTGGATAAACAATCAAACTCGAGAGATCACTTTACCTGACGGCAGCACATCCACAATAATCCTATGCCACAGATTTCTCTAGTACTTTATTTCCTATCAATCCATCTAATAGAAGTCAAATAATAGCGAGTGTATCTCCTTGACAATGTTGCATACTTTAATGTGAATTCACATTAGACTTAAGCCTATGAAGTTTTACACACGTGTAATCTTCACAACTGTTGAAAGACGATTCTTCCATTCTTTAATTACTTGCACCAGAACGTATGTTTTCAGTATTATCAATCTGAATTGCTAGGAAAGGTAACACCTGAAGAGTGATAAATGCCTGAACTTAAAAGTTCACCTGGATTAAATGATTGTATGTATACTTACTTATTCTTATTCTTGAGATCATTTAAGTAAGTTATTGTTGGTCAACAAAGCTACGAACACAAGAATTACTGTTAAAATAAACGACCATCTGACAAAACACTGGGTTTTACGGATGGGTCAATCATGTCGACTACTCGTAACGCAAACACCGAATGTTGCGCCGTCTGATGCCACTTTAGTGCGAAAAGAGAACTTTGAGTAGGAATGACCCAAACTCAGAACGATGTTTATGTACCATAAAGTGATATTTTCCTTCTATTTTCAAAACATTTAGACACTTGGTATCATGACAGAGTTTAATGTCCTCCCTCTGTAACATTCGAAACCGCTCAAGCCTTTTGTGTTTCTCTGCGATTATCACTTTGATGATGCCTGTAAACCGGCTTCTCTCATGTTAAATTCACAACCTGAGAATGAAAAAATGCTAGTCAAATAATATCCACCCACTCTGCAAGTGATCTGATATCACTTTGCAGTGCACTTGATTCCGCTTCAGACGTCACTGCTCTCCAGCTCTCCTTGACGTCAACAGAGAGTAGTAATACTGGGGAGCTAAGATTCAACGGAAGGCCGTTCACTAGAAGAAGGAGTAGCACCGGACCTAGAATCGCTCCTTGCGGTGCACCAGATGGTGATGTCCTCCAAGTCGAGCAAACCCCGTCGGCTTTTGTGCAGAATCATCTGCCGTCTAAGAAGTCCTATAGCCAGGAGACCACTCGACCTCTGACCCCGAACCTTGATATTTTGCGAACAAGAATAGTGTGCTGGACTGTGTCAAAAGCCTTGGCAAAATCCAGGAAAATAACATGCACAGGACCCGGGAAATTCATTATTCATCGACCACCAGAACGTTTGGGGGAAAACCTACCATGTCCGAAACCGTGAGGAGTACCACTTAGTGCCGCCTCTTTTCCATGGAGAAAGTGTCAGCGTTGAGCTTATTAAGAACACTGACAAGAAGCGAACGATAGTGAAACCAACACCGAAAATGCTGAAACTCTGGTAACCTCTCAGAACGTTGGGCATAACACTTTGAAACACAGTTCAACTGTCCCTCAGCAACCCATCAGTTAATCAATACCCAGCCTAAGCCTGAATAGGATGTATACGTCAGTCCTTCAACTCTCCTTGGAGTTGAAAAAGCTGTATCGAATCTGAAACGGTGTAAAACAACAGGATCTAACAGTTTGTCACCCGTTCCCAAGGATAGAGGTTGGAAATCTCTAAACATAAAGTAACAGAGGTATTACGTAGTGCGTGGGAATCAGAGGTAGTGCCATCAGACTGATCTACCTCACTGATCATCTCAGTCTAATAGAGTAGAGAAATCTTCTTCTGAAAATCTGAATAGTGTATCCAACATCCTGGGGTCCATAGTTACCCGATGCCTACGTCGTGCTCGAGAATGTCAAATTCAAGAAAACCAGGCGAAATCCAAACAGAGCTGGACGACAATGCATCGATAATTTTACCCTCCGACAGGTTCTGGAACTCAGACATACCTACCCGGCAGCAACCATATTTGCCATGTGTTTTTTTTACCAGGAGGCGGCATCTTGAAGTGTCGTAGGAGTGAGTGCCTGAATGTGAGTTAAATGCTGATAAAGTATGTGACGTTAATGAAACCTCTCTTTAGAGGTATATATATATATATATATATATATATATATATATATATATTCACGCACCCGTGTTAAGCTTAAAGGAGAGTTGTCGAGTGAAATGATGACAGCTGGTGGCGCTGGTCAGGGATGTCCACTTTCACCGTTCCCTTTTAATTTCGAGATAGACGAAACAATAGACATAACCTTACGAACGCCTGACCTCGCAGGGATTCACCTCATCCGTGCATAACATCTCTTTGACCTTGAGTATGCAGACAATGTTGTCTTGCTAGGCGAAGACGTTGACAAAATACAGGGTATTCTGAACATGTTGAGAAAATATTTGAGTATGTTTGCATGTGTCTCGCTGGCGTATGTCAAGTGTATCATCATCAACCCGACGAAATCTCAGCTCGGATGGAGAAGGCCCGTTTGTCACTTGCTCCCAACTTGCGTCACATAACGCGCTGACTGTCGAGATATCCGATTATCTATCAAAGGAAAAGTACACTGCGCTTCAGTCCGTTCTGTCCTATTGTACGGTCGTGCAAAATGGCCGTTGAAAGTAATAGACAAGAAGCGATAACAGGGTATGGTCGCAGGTGTCTCCGTAGCATTGTTCACGTTTGGTGTGATCATTGTGTGAGCAGTGTTGAGGTCAGCGGAAGGGTACTAGGCAAGGCAAGCTGGTAAGTCGATTGATGAAGTTGTGAATGTTCATCGAGTGAACTGAGATGGTTGACTTGGGGGGATGTACTGCGCATGCCGATCGACTACCCGCTTCGATGTGGCATGCTAGTGGAAGTTGGATTAAGTTGAAAGAGAGTCCAAGTTGGCCAGACCATGACATGGAATGAGTTGGTGAAGTCTCTTGCTGTCGGTTTGAGTCATGTGGGGCGATGTAAACTATCAAGACGAAAGGAATCGGTGGTTGAGGATTCTTGGTGACATGGTCACAATGGCGTAGATTTATTCACTTTTTGATTTCTTCTATAGTTTGAATATTCAAACTTACCTTTATCCTCAGATTGTTTATTCTCTCACACAACTTTGTCTTCTTTGATATCACTTCTGTCCAGTTGTTCTTTGTATACTACTTTGAAATGAAGCAACTTGAGCCGATACATATGTGTGCGAGGTTCTACGTTGATTTTATCAGTCAGACAGTTACTTCCCAAAACAAATGAACAATTTTCGGAAGCGGTAAGCAGTGAAATTCAACAGACGTTTCTTTATCTGACTTTCAACTCAATGTGTGAATTCAATGGCATCATAGTGTGTGTGAGTACTCCCGCAGATACACGAACTTTACAAATACTCATACTTTGCTTTTAAGTATATGTTTACTGTTATTAACTGATGCGAGTAGGTAGAGAGTGAACCTGCCGAACAAAAAGTTTCTATGTGGCCAGAATAACCTAGGTTAGTACTCATGTTCTTTAATGGGAATAAAAAGAATAATTCTAACAGTTTTCCAATTATTTATAAACCAGACTAAGCTTTGAAATTTATCTACGGTCAATATTCTTTTACTGAGAAACAACAGTAACACAAAATGGGAAAGTTCCGGAGAAAATATGATATACTGAGCTGGGAAAAAAACGACTTTGTGAAAACAAAAAAGCGCCAAATGGCGTTCGAAAGTTTCATTGTGAATATCAATGCTAAATATTCATCATAAATCCTGATAAAACGGTCTTCTAGTTTCACAGAAAATAAAATTTACATGTTCAACGTCTGGGGTTAGTCGACGGAAATCCTACCAACAAAGAAGGTTTTGTGCTTGTTGACATTCATCAGCGACGTATTTTTGCAATTTTGAGAAAACTGATTCTCCTATGAAAAAAAAACATTGACTAAACCCGACAAAATGTACAGAAATGTCGCAGAGGCTGAATATCCTTCAACAGTTGTATGTGGTGGTATACTACTGCAAACTTTGTGAAGCTAAATAGGAAAAATTAAAATTGAATGCGCCTTCAATGTGTTCATAAACTGAATTTCCTTTATGAGGTAGTTATGATACTTAGGATAAACCGAAATTACCATTTGAAACGACAACTGATTGCCTCAGGGTACACATAACTACGGTTTATATTAGGATATGAAATGCAGATACACTAAGATCTAGGTTATTTAATACCTGAGTAAATTTTTCGCTAAAGCCTTAACCCAAGTAAGTGAGCAGGTACAATCGCAATAATCTTCGTAGCAAGAATAAGTAAAACAGGACAACCGTTACGTTACACATTCTTAGTACTTTATCGACCTCCATTATTTTGCTACTTTCCTACCCTCACGTTACTTCATGTTTTGCATTTCGCATACTATTGGGAGTGCGCGAATGGGTAACACTTTATGGCTGTTCACGGTTGAAGGGGTGTCAACAGAGTAACTGAAACAGGAAGAAGAAAATATTCGTGACCGCAGAGCCCATGAGAAATCTGTTTGAGGATTGCCACACAGACTCTGAAGGACTGTTGCTCTGCGAGTTACTTGTTCTAACGCCGCACAGGGAAGACCCATAACACCGGTGACGGAAGATCGTAGACCACGGAAGTGCGCTATTTTTAGAGCAGACCTATTCTAACCCACTCCCCTTCCCACAGGTAAGGTAGCTCCTGCATGGCACTTCTGGTTATCCACGGGAAAAACTTCACCGTTGTTACACCCTATCTATCCAACAGTAGGACTTCACACTCTAATTCCGATCATGGTAAAGCCGTTTACACAATAACAGTAACCGCTTTTCGTCTTACTGCTATCCAACAGATCTTTCTGGCATGGTAAGACCTCAAGGAACAAACTTTCCAGCTAGTATAGTCCGTTGGGTCATTGTGATATGCAAACTGGACCACCACGTCCAGGTAGTAGCTATTAGTGGTGGCATTACTGTTCATAATATTACACATTTTAAACGTAACTAGAGGTCGGATTTTGGATTACCAAAGTTTCATAATAAACTTATGGCTTTCGAAATTCCTGGATGAATTCCACGACCAATATGAAGTATGAAAACACTAATGAAAAACGTTTGATTGATTTAGTTAGCTTACCTGAATGGACTTGTGAAGATCACCAGACTCCAAGTCTTTTATATCAACGCTTACGTGAGATTTGTTAACGTTCTCCAATGTTGCGCGTAAATCATCAGCTTCTGTTCGAAACATTTGGAGCTCTCGTCTATAGCGTTTGCTGTTATGCTGGCTGAATGCAAGTTCTGCTTGAAGCCTAGCTATAGAGCTAAAAAGTTATGGAAATAAGGCAAACACTAGTCATTTGAACATAAATGAACGTTCAAAAACATGTTAAATACACCAACTATTGTAACCGATTACAAGTTACTTTACCGAAGGTGATTTGTAACATTTCAACCAGTCTAGATACACGGCTCAGACCAGCAATGAGAAACTTCCCTTACGAGCTAATCTCACGTTATCGATTGGATTGGTAACGAGGTAAAAGAAAAACTTCTTAGTGTGGTCTGACAAATATATGGCATCAACTCACAAAGTTGGAAGTACCACGCATGATAGGGAGCATAGGGTCACTAGCATTGGTAACAGATGTGATACCTGTAACAAGAGATGGTAAACAACACATCTCAACGACACATCCATAGTGGTTTATACTCACTTATTCCCCAAAATACACGGGATTTTCGATCTGCTCTATTGTTTTTTCATCATCTATTGATTTCAACCCAGCTTTTAGGTTAAAACTCTGAGTGACAATAAATCAACCATTTGTCCGCTTATTTACCAGGCTACTAGAATGACGTCAAGTTAGGAGTATCAGACAGACAACGTAGGATCTCGTACACATTTGCATCGGCTCAATTTACCTCACTTCAAAGTAGTACACAAACAACAAACGGATAGAAGTGATATCAAAGGAGACAAAGTTGTACCACAGAATAAAGAATTTAAAGATGACGGTTGGCGCAAATATTCAAGCTTCAGGTGTCAAGGAGTGGATACATCTGCGCCATTATGACCGTTTTTTAGCCAACCACTGATTCCTATCGTCTTAAGGGCCCTAGCCACACAGTCTACATCTCGTCACACGACCCAGATCAATAGTTGCACGTATTGATCTGGTTACCCCCGAACACTCTTTCAACTTAATCCAACTTCCACTAGCATGCCACATCGAAGCAGGTAGTGGATCGACATGCTCAGCACATGTCCAAACCAGCCATCTCAGTTCACTCGATGAACATTCACAATTTCATCAATCGACTTACCAGCTTGCCTTGCCTAGCACCCTTCTCCTGACCTCAACACTGCTCACACACTGATCACACCAAATGTGAGCAATGCTACGTCTTCTTCTTCTACTTCCAATGGCCATTTTGCACGACCGTATAATAGGACAGAACGGACTGCGGCGTAGTGTACTTTTCCTTTAATAGATAGTCGGAAATATATATTATGATTGTTGTTATTATATCTCGACAGTCAGCGCGTTATGTGACGCAAGTTGGGAGCAAGTGACAAACGGACCTTCTCCATCCGAGCTGAGATTTCGTCGGGTTGATGATGATACATTTGACATACGCCAGCGAGACACATGCAAACATACTCAAATATTTTCTCAACATATTCAGAATACCCTGTATTTTGTCAACGTCTTCGCCTAGCAAGACAACATTGTCTGCATACGCAAAGTCAAACAAGTGACTTCCAGAGTGTAGCAGTATTCCTACTCCCGAAACCTTGGTGGTCGGTTACGACTTCAGTGTCAAATCCAACGGACTTCAGATCGAATCGATACACTATTGCATTGGATATGGCACCCGAATCAACTCACTAGAACACAAACGACACTTCCTATTAAGTCGATATTGAGGTAGAACCAACTAGAGATTGATGGAATTTCGACTGACAGAAACACCACATGGAATGAGCAACTGACGATTTTCCACAGCCGAGTGCTCATTGGTCGGAATATGAAATCAAATATATTCTTCGGCACTCGCATCCGACGCATTTGCAGCCAGGATGCTACAGATGAATGGATAAACATTCTAAGAAAAGCCTGACCGAGAACGGATGCCCGCCTTGGTTCATGGATGAAAACGTAAAACTGAAACCCAGAAAATGACTCAGTTTCGGTGTCAAAAAAGATGCTACATATGAGCCTTGACTTCATATGTGATCCAGTTGCTAGAATCCCCCTATCACAACCTTTTATCTGATTGCGAAATGTGAATAGCACTTGTATCCTGTTTACTTATCAATTCAATACTCACCTATAGTGCAGACTAATCATACTCCTTGTGCTTACTGTCTTGCCTGGAGAGAAGAAAACCCCCTAGACTCACTTTCATGCTAATAACATCAAGTGATAGCTACATTTCTGGTACGAGGCGTCTTACATGAAAATTAACATTCCAGGCTATTGTTCGATGGGGTGGAAACTTTTAAGCTGTGAATCGTTATCTATGGTGCTGTCGGGATAAACTCAGTTGGATAGTTTTCTGATTCATGAAGCAGATAAGGATAATTTCTTTTGTCTTTGATGCAGTGCATTCGTGTCCGTGAAAACTATGCACATATAAGGCATTTTTCGGGTAAATTTGTCCTTGTGGTTACAGGTCCTTGTTTTCTGGTATTTTCTTGTCTCAGTGAAAAGTCACCGTCGAGTCCAGTAGAAGTGTCTAATACCGCTCACCACTGATATTACCTCAGTCAGGATCCCTGGCTTAAGATATAAAAAGGACTGACTGAGCGAAGAAATATATTTTTTTTCAATTAGGTCTTCATCTTGGACTCTACACTGATATATAGGTTTACAATTTAACCAAATTACCAATCACGTGGTGTTTCGGAAATAATGATGCGAATAATCAGTAGAGTTACTAAAATAGGGAATATGAATAATGATAGAAACAAGAAGGGGAAGAGGTGCACAAAATACATCATGTTGACGGTCACGGTGATGAAAGTGGTCGAACAAACTTCTTTTGGATACAAAGGCTAGGTTTGTAAAGGTGGATTGCAATCGCTTCCGCTATGTGAAGTAACCGAGTGCGTAATCCATGAGGTAAATTAATTGGAATCTGATGGATAATTTTGAAGGCTTTTCCAGTAACCACTTGATGTCCTTTGTCAACTAAGTGTGCAAGTATGGAGCTCTTTATAGTTCTAATTTGTCCCTTGTTCAACCATGATGGGTGGTGCTCAGAAATTCGACGGTGGAACTGCCTTATTGTACGCCCAATGTAACTCACTCCACAGGAGCAGTTGAATTGATAAATGCACACAGAAGTGGCAGAATCAGGCAGTTTGTCTTTATTTCTTGCACCTAGAATCGGGCGGTTGTAGGCGGGACATAATTTAGCGGTTGGGAATGCTTTATGCAAGACTCTTTTTATGCGTTGTGTGATGATCTCACTGGCAATATCACTCTTGAATTGCAGCTTCAAGAAGATTTGCTTCTTAGGAACTGTTGGCATTGTTTTCTTAACCCTCGTAATATTCATGTGCTTAGTTACAAACTTGTCTGGGTAGCCATTCCTACTAAGCAGATCACGGATGGTGGCGCACTCTTCCTTTATAGCATCCTCTGAGCAAATAGCTGATGCACGGTATGCTAAGCATTTCTCTAGGTTCCTTTTGTATTGGAGGGGTACAGCACTAAAGAAGTGCGTATATTGACCTGTTGATGTTGGCTTTCCATAAACACTTCGCTTCAGGGTTCCATCTGACCTTCTTACCAACAGGACATCAAGAAATGGGATACTATCATTTTTCTCCTCTTCCATTGTGAAGTTGATTGCCAGGTGAACACTACTGAACTTATTCAGAACAGCATTCTTATCAGTCTCACTTTTGAGAACTATAAAGGTATCATCCATGTAACGACAATATAACTCTAAAGGGCTTATAGTATCGTTCAGTGGACCATTCTCAAGTTTTGCCGGAAAAAAATCTGCTAACAGCCGGCCAAGGGATGACCCCACGGCAACACCATCAGATTGCCGGTAGAGTTCATTGTTGAAAAGAAATTGTGCATTCAGAACTACTTCTGAGGTGTACGACCAGTCTTTTCTAAATATATAAAAAGGAGTCCACAGTTACATCACTGTGAGCTGGGTCCATTCATACTACTGTGAAGACAATTCAGTGTGTGCCTCACGTTCTAGGTTGGCCGATGGATCGAGGGTTAGTCCCAGTGCTGGAACATGTAATAAGCCTCAAGGCAGTATCCAAGCGACTGGACCAGCTAAGTTCCCTCCTAAGGCATTTTCTTCTGTCACTCGTATTTTAAGGTCATCGGTTTAGTCCTTTCCATGTTGATATAGTACAATGGTGGCTTGAGAATCGTTAAGAGCTGCTTTCATCGTAGAATTAAAGAATCGCTTTCCCAGTAGTGAACGGTTGCAATAACAGTACCTGAACTTTTTACCACGTCTGTAAAATGCTAGACAGAAGCTTCGGGTTCCCAAAGTTGTTAATGGTCAATCATACTGAGGCCACTATTGTATTATGCAGGGGTGCAGGTGTCTATTGGTCGCCAATACTCCAGTTTTATTCACTTCTTTTTATCGTGCTTGGAGTCAATGTCATCGGTAGGAACTTCTCTTGAGGTGGGCGCCCACCAGTGTTTGTCTGCGCAGCTTTGTCTTCAAGCAACCTCACCACTGTCAACAGTTTACGACAACTCATAGCTATTTTCCAAACAGTCCTGGGTGCTCGAGCAGGCATTCAATATCCATGTGGGAATTAAACGGAGTGATAAGGTTCCACAGACATTCTGGATTCATATTTCTGTGGTGTTGGTACTCTTTGTGAGTAAATTTTGGCTTTCACGTTCCAGTCATTCGCGGTTCGTGACGTCCGGCAGTAGTTGACGCTCAAGCGGACCCGGATTTTCTGTCTGAAGTGATTGTCCTTGAACGTTACGTTCATGTGGCTATCCATGAACTAATTGCTGGCTTAACATTACTGACTTTCTGTGCTGTGACTCTCTTTGATGGTTAAGATATTTGGGTAACTAATACTCCCTGTAAGAGCCTTTAGCTAAAGACAGTTTCATACGAAACTGCTGACAAGTTAAGAAGAACCACGTGCACGGATTGTGAGCTATAAGGAGGGAATACTCTTGCGGTATGTCCCTATCGCATCATTGGTGTAGTCACTCACTACGGAAGTCAAACTTCAATGCTGTGTCCATCGTTACTACGATGGGGCATACGTACAGGAATGTTCACCTTGACCGCTAGGCTTTACCGCAGAATTTAGCCCACTTCACTGCCATTCCCTTCTAGTAGATTTCCCAGTGGCTTTAGGGCGTGTTAGAAGCTTAGAAAGTCCTAGCATCGTCTGTACAAGTTTCTGGACAGAAAATAGAAGTGTTCATAGTGCCGTTCATGTTTTGACTATCCCAGTATATCAATGTCTGTAGTGGTCAGATGCAACTCAGTCCAGATGAAGAACCAATGGTCTCTGAGCGTTACTGACACCTCTGAAATCTAGCCTATGTTACTATGCTGTAAGGGGTGGTCAGTGACTGTGGTGGGGTCAGACTGGAAACTTTATCGGTTCACAACTCCGTTAGCACGTATATATGCAGATATAATAAACGGGATAAGAATGTCCATAGAGCAAGCAATGAGTTATTGATGTCAACCTGGCCTTCGTTGTTCCAGCTACTCGACGCTGTGCAATACAAACAACTGCACACAAAAGTTCCAGATATATGGATGAATGAGGTATATAATATTGCAAAAGTCTTTGGGATAGTGATTAGGCCAGAAGCAGTTGTCGGTATAACGTGAAATGGCACGCTGGTAATTCGTTCATTAAATATTTTTTTTATGTTATTCAAGTCTATTTAAACTTAATTCCCAAGATATTCAGAGCGATCCTCACTAATCTAAGAAGCCGTGCATTTTTGTCCTGACAATTTAACTCGACTTGTTCCTATATCTTTATATTACTTTTCAACGTTCTTAAACATCTTGATTACTTTAGGATGAAAATGATACTTCGATTTTTTTTGTATATCACCATGCTTAACTAATTGCTTTCAAACATGAAACGAATTGTACATTCTCATCGAAAAGTCGTATATAAATTTTATTTTACAGCCTAGTGAATGAAGTCGCCGAAGAGCTTCTTCGCTTAACCACTTGTTTTCATTTTCAATGATTTTTCTCAATAGCACTTAATTTGTTAACATCTTACCTTTGAAATTCATTTTTACACTTGGCGAATTCCGTTTCCTTAGCTAATACACACATTTCCAAAGCATGAACTTTTTCTTGGGTACATTGTAGCTCAGAGTGTAAATTATCATACTTATTTCGCCAATCTAAGAAAGAATGTTTGAATGCGAAGAAAGAAGACAAACCATTTTCAGTACCATGATGTTTTCGTTTCAAATCATCTATTTGTTCATGAAGTTGATTATTTTCCTCTTTTAAAATATCAATCATTTTCCTACGACAAGCTGCATAGAAGTCAACTAACTACAACTCACGATGCAGAATCTAGAAGCACTTGCTTTTCATTGAGTGATTCCTTCAATAGGACATTTTGAGACTCCGCAGCATAAACTCGCTATTGAATAAAATAAACCATGCTTACAGAATTTACCGATGACTCCAAGTCTTGAGATGTGTTAGCATATCGATACATTCTCTCGTAGTTGTACAACATTAGCCTAAGTCTAAAGTTTTCACGTCTCAACTCGGCTGCAGTCTAAAATGGTTTTAAAAAATGTAACTAGTTAATTACTTCTTCAAGGTCTAAAGCTTGTCCTCCATCATTGGGATCTAGAAACAGATTTAAATAAAAGAAACTACCTACTATTTTCCAAGTGATAACATTGACCTTGTGCACTACTTTTGTTGGACTTTTCAGCCACATGACCACTGGAATTAACTTTATACTTCTGGCAAAAATACTAACCTCATGGCAGAATTCGACTTGTCCATGTAAGCTGCTTTATGTTGGTGGCCTGAAAACAAGTTTTCCAAGTTGAAACTCAATCACGGTTAGTAGTCAATGGTTTGAATAAACTTTATAGCAGTAAATCATTCAAATGCACCACACATAAAGGATGTTATATACTGGGTAGACTACAGCATGACGAAACGTCCCACGAAATCAAATGCTTAGGGTACATTTTATGAATACCTATCGGTGGAGTTGTGGTTGTGCTCAGGTATGCAGCTCTCACGTAATGTGCGAAGTTTGCTCCGTCAATAGAGGTTTGAGTAACCAAGCAGGGTTTTCATCTATCAGAATACGTGTGGTACAAAATCTAGAACATGGACCTGTATTTTGCTTTCAACAACAACAAACTCCAATCACCATCAATGGGAGAAACTTAAAGGAAGTAGCCTCTATCACCTACCCAGGCAAAATAGCATCGTTTCAACTACAGGCGGCACAGACGAGGATGTCAAAACCAGGATTGATAAAGCAAGACAGACCTTCATTAATCTGAAACCAGTGTCGAGATCTTCTGCACTCAGCATGCGGAACAAGATACGGATTTTCAACACCAACGTCAAATCAGTGCTTCTGTATGTTTCAGAGACTTGGCGCGTTACGAAAGGCATTTCCAATTAACTACAGACATTCATCAACAACTGCCTACCCTGGCTCGCTACTGAAGATCAGATGACCAGAAAGAATAAGCAACAAGGAGCTCTGGCAACGAACCAACCAAGAAACTATCACCCAACAAATATGCAGGAGGAAGTGGAGATGGATTGGGCATACACTGAGAAGGCCGACTGGGGACATCACGCGTCAGGCCAGTCCCTCGAGTGGAATCCCCAGGGGAAGCGACGAGTTGGACGTCCGAGGGTGACATGGAGGAGATCGTGCGAGGAGGAAATGAGAGCTTCTGGGTTGTCGTGGAGCCAGGTTCAAAAGATTTCAGAGAGCAGAGTGGAATGGAGACGTGCTAATGAAGCCCTATGTTCCACTAGGAACCCAAGGGACTAATAATTATTATTATTATCACTAAAAGCCAAGAAAAATGTGGGCTGTAAAGGAGAAACGATGAAAAGGGTAGAACAACTGGGCTAAGCAACAACAATGCACTTCCAACTGTAAAAGCTCTTAGTTGTGTGAAAATGTAATCAGGACGGATAAAGCTCACGAAAAAGAATAGGAACTTCTGACTTGTACCCTAAGTTTTACTTGAATTCAAACAACAGGATAGACACAAAGCAGAATGACCTCAGTATACCTGTCGATCGGTTCAACATATTTTACACTAGCGGAGCGAAAAAAAAGGGAAATTCAATATAATGAAGACAACAACAAAAGTGGTAGCAGTGGGGACAGTTGACATTTTGATGTAATAGCCAACCCTACCTATCGAAATGATTGAGCTAGCTTTGTTGTCTAAAACGCCTGTTCCTTGAAGTCCCATCAAGCCAGGAGGGCTCGTTACATGATGGTAAAACAAAACTAGCTACCATCATAGTCCAGTTAGTCTACATAACGGCTAGATCTGAAGGTGAAGTGCCGTTGGTTTCACGAGGTTTAGTAGCAGTGAAATGATTCTCGTGAGTGATTTCGTCTTACCTCATATAATAGGAGGTATTAGTAAGGATCAGCTAAAATAGCGCACTTCTATCTATCTTGCAGTCAAGTGACACCAGCGGTTAGGCTTTGTACAGTCCAGGAACCAGGCTTCAAATAAGTAAGTAAATGCAACTAGTCCAAAAGCGTTTAATGCAGCAGATGCCCTTCAGGAAGGTTTTAGAAAAATCAGACCTCTCTTCTGAATCCTTGTAGACGCAGTTTCAAGGTTCCAAACGTAGCGAAGATGTAAAGCAACTCACATGCAGACCAATGAGAAATGAACAGCACAACCGCAAACAGACTAAGCAGATGTGAAAGGCAGCGGCTACGAGTGACAGTGAATAGCCATTTAAACTTGTCAATGAAATTTGAAGCATGGCTGAAACACTTCGATGAACAGTTCAGCTGGCTTTCACGACGTCTTTTGTTGCTGACTACGCAGTTCAGTTGTATAGGTAGGGTTTTCAGTCCAAACGTCGAGAGAACCGTAATTAACCCGAAACGAAGGAGGTTGGTACCGCAGACGTTTAGAGACAGTCGAATTATTCATCAGATTAACAGAAGAATTAGCTAGCGTAAAAAATGAGATACGGCCCTTCTAAAAGGTTTCAGTTGCTGATTGTACAAGTCGCAAAAACGGATAGAAATCCACTTATGACAAACACAAACGAAAAAGTTTGATGAGCATAGTGTCTTGTAGGGATGCGTGTTACAATTCCGTAACGTTTGATCAACCCTACTTAATTTGATGTGCTCTAGTACCTGCTTAACCAGTACTTTACCTAACGTGTAAGTACTGGTAACAAAACACAAATCAAAAGAACTGATACGCAATGTATTTAAAGGAGCTATGTATTTAAGGTAAATGTATAATAATGAATGAGGGAAAAGTTTAATCAACTTATCTGGCTTGTAAGGCTGAACTAGGGACTCGGAGTACGTGCGTGGTGATCAGCACAATGGAGCGCAAAAATGGCGTCCAAGCCTGCTCGGATGCATGCTCGTTAAAACAAAACTTAAAACACCCTAAGCATCCGGAGGCAAGCTAGAGATTTATTTAGTTAATTTAATTTAAACTATTTATTTTAGCCCTAGTTATATTTTGGTGCCAGGAAGGTGCACTACAGGTTATCCCCCTCCTAGAAGGTTGTTGGGATACCGGCAACCTTCGATCCTAGGAGGCGACTGCGAGGCGGACACGCAACACCTTTCCATATTGGTGATGGAGTAGGTGACGTGTGGGTCTCCGAAGCTAGTGCAACTATGCACACCTACGAGGTAAGATAACTTTGCGTCTAGACGCAACCCTTCTCGCAGTGGTGGAAGGTGACCCAAAGCCTCCGTCTACTTTTCCCTATTGCTTCTTAATCTACCGGGGAGTGTACAGGGGGAAATTGGTACAAAGAGAACCGAAGAACGATCCAAGTAGCATCGTCAGCGGCCAATTGTATCCAATTTTCAACGCATTTTCTAGGTTCTGCAAGAAGAAAGAAATGGGACATTAGAGTGCTAAGAAAAGGAAAACCAAACAATTCGAAGTGGGAGTAGTACAGAAAAAAAATAATAACCAACCAAAAAAAGTTTTCGGAATTTAAATTGTATTTTTGGTTTTTCTTTTTTGAAAAAAAAACTGTTTGCAAAGTAGTAAACATGACTTTTGAAAACTTTAGGTATGAAAACGCATTGAAAGTGTATGCCACGACAAAGTAGTTGAAACTCCGAATTCACCAAGTGTGAAGTTGCTCTGGGGCTAATTAACGAACTCGGCGTATCGCTTGGGCCAATGTACACGCCTCCCAGCACGTGTAGAGGTTACTGGATCAGTGTTACTAGACGTGGCTCTTTTAGAAGGTTCAGGATACGCGCGACTAAACGAGTCTGTTAGGGAGTCCGGCGGCAAGGGTCTGGGTGTGCCTGTGGAGGTGTCGCACAATATTGACACTTCACTGTTCAGGAGCGGTAGACGCTGTATCTTCAGAGAGGATGAGTGTTGAAGTTTTCCAATCTCCTCGTCTGAATCCTGAAGTTCGGCAATCTTCCGTAAGTCGACTGCTCGAGGCAAAGTAGTGGTGCAAACGCGAGACAGTGCGTCCGCGACAGGGTTATTCACACCAGAAATATGACGGATGTCCGACGTGAATTGCGAAATATAATCTAGGTGACGTAATTCACGCGGTGAATATCTGTCAGTAGTGGTGTGTAAGGCATACGTCAGAGGTTTATGGTCGGTAAAGATGATGAAGTCACGACCTTCCACAAAATGACGAAAATGTTTCACTGAGGCATATATGGCGAGCAGTTCCCTGCCGAAAGTGCTGTACCGCATTTCGCAGGTGGATAACTTCCGGAGAAGAATGCAACTGGGATCCAAGTGTGATCCGAAAGTTGTTGCAACACAGCTCCAATGGCCGTGTTAGAGGCGTCAACCGCAATGCTAAGAGGTAGGTTTACGTCTTGATGCACCAGCATCGTGGCGTCTGCTATTGCGGTTTTGATCTTGCGAAATGCTTCTAGTGCCTCAGGAGTCAAGCTGAAAGTTTTACATTTACTTTTCAGCAGGTCGGTCAGTGCAGTCAAAATGTGTGCACATTGGGGAATGAAGCGACGATAATAGCTCACCATACCCAAAAACACACGCAGAGCTTTAAGTGACGCTGGGACTGGGAAGTCTTGGATCGCCTGTACCTTTTCAGGTAGTGGGCGAATGCCTTGCTCGTCGATAACGTGTCCCAAAAATTTTAGTGAACGAACGCCAATTTGGCATTTGGCCAGGTTGACTGTCATCGAATGCTCTGACAGTCTGGCGAAAACCTGTTTCAAGTGGTTAAAATGGTGTCTTCGTCTGGACTAGCGATTAGTATATCGTCTAGGTAGGCATAGGCGAAATCGAGTCCACGTAAAACATCGTGAATAAAACGTTGGAAGGTTTGTGCTGCATTGCGAAGACCAAAAGGCATACGGAGGAACTCAAAAAGACCAAACGGTGTAATGACGGCTGTCTTGGGAACATCATCAGGATGAACCGGGATCTGATGATATGCACGCGTCAAGTCAAGCTTACTGAAGATAACCGAGCCTTTTAAAGATGCAGTCAAGTCGTGAATGTGAGGGACTGGGTAACGATCTGGAATCGTTTTAGCGTTGAGCCTTCGGTAGTCACCACAAGGCCTCCAGTCCATGCCATTGTTCTTGGGTACCACATGCAAGGGTGAAGACCATGGACTGTTGGATGGTCTGATTATTCCCATTTCAAGCATGTGTTCGAACTCGGCTTTTACAGCACGCAGTTTCTCCGGGGATAATCGCCGTGGTTTCGCAAATAC